CAGTGAGCCCATGTAACCCAAGCTCTTTTCCCCAGAGCTAGAGACTTGCTTTTTCTATTCCAAGAAAGCTGGAGGAGAAGATTAATATTGAAATTAAGATTAGTATCCTCACCACCAGTAAATGATGAATGCATGGGGCAATGGATCTGTTAATTCTCCTGATTTGTTTAAAGCATAATGAAAAGTGTACTGAATCATCCCATTGTGTCCCAAAGATAAGCACAATCATTATGCATCAATAAACCTTAAAGAAATATGGATAACTTGAGTTCTGTAAACTGGAAACAGAAGTGGTTACATAGAAAAGCCACACTCACAATTCCCCGGCATCCTCAGCCACCAAAAGAATGAAGGACCCTCAGGGAACTACAGAATCCTCTCTGAAGGAGCCATTTAGTACCCAGGAAGGGAGGAAATCTCTGGAATTTGGAAAACAGAGTAAGAAGTAGATGTAAGAGCTGATTGCCTATGAAAGGGGTGCAGTAAATATATCCAGAAGGAGGGTATGGATCAGTTAAGAAATACACTTTTGAAATCAGCCAAACTCCAAGAGCATACGTTTTCCCTCCTCTGAGAAATCTAGAAGGAAAAAAGAGACACCAAGAAGGTAGAAGTCTGACCCTTAAGGCAAGAGGAGGAATGAGGGGAGGGGTGGGGAGAGTGAGGGGCTTGGGGAGTGGCACTGATCAAATGTGTCTTCATGTTTGTGCAAACATGCCACAGTGAACCTCAGCTCTCTGCATGATTGATATGCACCAATAAAAACAGAAACTCACTTTTACCTTGTCCCTATAACGGTTCTCTTTTCTCCTGGATATTATCAAGATAGAAAAAGAAAAGAATAAAAGAAGGGGGGAAAAAAGAGGTAGAGGTAAGGACAACTACTAGGAAGGAAAAAGTAAGAACAGAAAGAGACAAAGGGAGAGAGGAAGAAAGAAACAGTTCAATCTCTCCCATCATTTCTGGGGACGTTCATTTTACCTTGAAGACCTCAGTGAGGAATGTGCCACTTTTTCCCTGGGTATTGAAAAATGATGGTGGAAGGTTTACCGCCAGGAGAGGCCAATGGACAGTTGAGGCAAGAGGCTCCTGAGCAGGAGGAATCCTCTGTGGCTGGAGACTCAGCTGGGCTGCTTCCTGGCCTGAACCTCGGCTGAGAGAGTGGTTATAGGTCGACTGTTCACAGTCTTGTGGTCCTGAGGGCACAACTCTCAAAGCTCCTCATTATCCAGGGGTGCATTGTCACTCACTCCCCAGGGAAGGTCATACCCTCAAGGCACAGAGATCCCTAAGAGGAGAACTACTTGGGATGCCTGGTCCCCTGACCCGAGGTGCATCTCATTCTCTTGTGACCTTTTTCCTCCAGGGATCTTGGATCTAGGGTCTGAACTCCAGGGAGCTGGAGGTATTTGCCTTAGACAGAACCTCAGCGTGCTCTGAGACATGATCACTGAAGAACCAGATGACCAGAGCCCTGTAAGAACCTGAGAGATGAAGTCTCAGGGATGCAGAGGGTACCATGGGACCATGTCCTCAAAGTCACCCTAAAGGGTGAATGTTTCCTCTGATATATGGATGTTAGCCCAAAATAAGGGGGAAGAAAAAGAGGGAGAAAAGTTGGGGGATTCCATCCAAATAAAAGAAAGATGGGTGGACTAGATGAAGGGGTCTGAGGGGGAGGGAGAAGGGATGGGAGAACGGAAGCTTTCCTATGTAGAAATATGAAAAGACCACAGTGAACCTCACCATCCTGAAAAGACACTAACTAAACAGACTAACCCAAGGAAGCAGCAGAAAGATCAGCTGAGTAGAGGAAAGGATCAGGGGGAAGGCATATTGGAGGGTAGGGAGACCTACTGGAGACCGAATCAGAGTATTGATATTCCGTGCCTTAATAATTATGTCAAAATGAACCCTAATATTATGTATAGTATAAAAAATAAAGAACCAGAAAAATAAAAGAAAATGTATCTTCCCAGTTAAAATTCACTGATAAATGAGGCTGGAGTATCACAGGAAAGGGATGAAAGAGAAAATAGCAGTTTGCTGGTTACCTCAACAGTCTTTAAGGGCTAGCGAAACCAGCAATTTCAAAGTGATCGCAAAAAAGCACTAAATAAAGGAAACAAATGACAAACAGACTGCATCTAACATTTGGAAACTCTGGAAGACAGAAACTCCCTGAACTGATTTTGGAGGCAACTCAAGTAATACCAGGAGTTGTTGATCCAGATTTTAGAGATGAGCTAACAGTCACTGTAAAATTAGAATATGCCATTCGGCTCTCTACTAAAGATGTGTTAGCTCAGTTAGTGCTTTTACCCTGTCCCTCAACAGACAGCCCTCTTAAAACCTCAACTTCCAGGTCCCCAGATCCAGTGTATTGGGCTCAATTAGACCAGCAGGAGTGCCCCCTGCTGGAACTTAAAATCAATCATAAACATTTTAGAGGAATCATAGCATTGATCAAAACCTAAGTTAACACAAGCATTTTAAAAGCACTAGATGTGTCCTTTAGCCTGAACTTGAATCCTTCTTGTAACTCACTCTCACCTACCATTTTTCCACCTCTCTGGGACAGAGGAGACGGCTGGAGTGATTTCCATCCCCACCCTCGCGGGCAGCTGAATTTAAGGTCACTCATGTGAATTTCCTAGGATACCAAATAAAACACAGACACACACTTTACCTTTAAATCAAGGTTCAGGATGGCTCCTCCGCTCTCGGCCTCAGGCTCCCCAAATGGGAGAGCGAGGAAAGTCATTCAGCAAGACCGCCCCCACATATT